AAACCGGAGTCAGAGAAGCGCAAAGGCACAGGAGCAGTGAGGTAGCAAGGTTGTCCAATCAGTGAGCCGGGCCATGCGCTGAAGCGGAGAGGTAATGCGCATGCGCGATGCCCGTTTCCGATTGGCTGCGTGAAGGCGGGATCCTTGAGCTGCTGTGGCTGTAAGGTGTTGGCAGTTTGTAAGTCATTTTAAATGTTTTTTTAAAAAACTCCTCGGTACTTCTTAGATCGGGCGCGCAATTTCTGTCAGATTGTTGTCAGTGGGTCTGTGGAGCGGTAGGCTCGTGAGGCTGCGACAGCCGGTGAGCACGGGCGGGACAAAGTGGGGAATGGTGCTGGAGCAACCCTCTGTGGGGCAGGAAGGCTTTAGGAGCGATTGCGGTCGCCTTTTGCGCATCCCCGAGTCACGTTCTGAAGGAGGGTCGCCTTGGCTGCTGGCCCAAGGGGTGGAGGCCCGGCGGCGGGGTGCTGAGGGTGGGCTTTTATGTGGAGACTCGGCGGAGGGGCGGTTCCGGGCAGCTGAGCCAGCGGGTGCCTGCAGGCTCCGGTGGCGTTTGGGTTTCTTTCTGATGCTGTGGAGCCGCTTTCCCAGGCCTAGAGGTGAAGGTTCGGCCAGCGCTTGGGAGGTGTCAGCGCAGCGAGCACCTTCCATAGGGCCACAGTCCACAGCTCAGGTCCCTCACCCCCTCCCTTTTTTAAACCCTGGAGGATTTTGTAGCAGGTGTAGTGAGGTCGCGAAGTCAAAGGAGCACGGAAGGCCTGAAATGAAATAATTATTACCAAATGTAGTTGGAAGTCAAAAAGCAGGATCAAAGCGTGTGTGTGTGTGTGTCTGTTGCTGGCTGTTGGCAGAGTTGTATTGTTTATATGCGTGCATCCTAGAGGTTTGATGGTTGCACACACTTACCCTTAAAAACCCAAAGGATCCCATGGAGTTTGGTCATAATCCTGTATGCAGAACTATATTCTTTTCTATCCCCCTACTTTAAGGTAGCTACTCTGATAGGACCTTATGTATTAAACCCTAATAATAATAATAATTATCATTTTAAAAATATTCTTTAAAAAATCTAATTCTTTCCTAATAATGATTATAATGGAAATATTACAGGTAACACTGAGTGCTACTGAGTCAAGCTTTGTTCTAAGTGCTTTAAGTATTTAATCCTCCCAACATGCCTGTGTTTAATTAAGGTATTATAGATAAAGAAACTGAGGCACAAAGAAATTAAGTAACTGTGTAAGTGCACATGCTAGGAAGTATCAGTCAATATTTATATTCAGGCATTTGCATTGAAAGCTTTGTTCTTGGGTATGGATGAGGAATGTTGGGGAAAAACACAGCTTTTGCTCCAAAGGGAAGAAGAGGTAGTTTTTTTCTGTGTGACCAAAGTCAGAGAACTGTTATAGTCTGAATTTAATCAATGCATGTTATAGGTTATAGATCATAGATTAGAAAATATAGGTTAGTGAAATATTAATTAGTAAGAATAATAGGATCATGAGACAAACGTTATAGAATTAGTGATGTTAAGAAACTCCAGTCTGCCCTAGTTATAAGTTAGAAGTAAGATAATCACTATAAGACATAGGATTTAAGTTCTTAATAATAAGATTTAGACAATGTAAGGTGATAAGTGGAAGCTCATGAGTCTAATATAGTTACAGGTGGTTACAGATAAATATAGAGATGGACATAGGTTACTAGAACAGTAGTTAAGTATAAGAAATAGCTATAGACAAGTAAGTATAGCCATAGTGACTCCATCTTTATGGTTCCCATCTTTATGGTTCCCGTCTTTATGGTTCCCATGTGAAATTGTTACATAAGTTGTTTTAATGTTAAAAATTCAAATTGTCTTTCTGTACTTTGTGTACCCACAAATGAGCATGTAAAATTAAGATATGGTTGTCTGTTTCTTCTCTACTAATGACATTGTTGTAGGACAGATGAGGCACTGAAGATAGCAGGAAACAGTTTTATTTGGCTGCAGCCAGGCTCAGAGGGCACGACTTTTGCTGCAATCAATCAATCTCCTGAACCCCAAGTTTAGGTAGTTTGAGAATTTTATACCCAGCATGTAAGGGGAGGGGCTCAGAAGTTCACATAAAAGCAGCTTTTTCTTTCACTGTTTTGGGCAAATTAACCCTTCAAGGACAACACCTGAGAAGGTGAGAGCTTTTTCTCCCTTCTTTCCTCCCCCTGCCAGCTGTTACCATGGAGCCCAATTGGTAACTTCTCTTATCTTAGGAATGTAGACATCTCTGTGAAGCTCCAGCTCAAGGCCAGAGGCCTTGTTTACACATTTCTACAAACTACTATATTGGATAAATGTTTGTGAAAAACTAGTAAAGGGGTGTCCAGCACCTGGAGTGCTGATTTCTCTTCCAGGCTAGCGTCCAAGTAAAATAGGGCAACACGAAAATAGGAAGTTTATCTACATTGAACTCTTTTGTAGAGACTCTTGCTGACAGTCCTAAAATCAGCCATGGTGAAGATTTCTGGAGAAGCCCAGTTAAGATCTGTAGAGAAAAGGGTACTACTACAGCATAATCAACCCCTGTATTCCGGTTGCTTGCTGTTTGTAAATTTTGAAAAATTCCATAGGGTGTGGTCTTCTGCCATGTCTACTTTGGTCTGGTCGCAAACAATTTGGGGCTATTCTTTCAGAGAGCCACTTGAACTCTTGTTAGACACAGCCCCAGACCAGGAATAATTGGCAAAATAGGTAAAATAAATTTTTTAAATTTATTTCAAATTTGGACTTAGTGTGTTTTCTGAATGGTCACCATCACAACAGAAGAAATTTATGTTACCCTGAATTGCATGCTTCACTGAAGAAGAGTTTATAGTCACAGAACAAAAGAAAGTAATAAGTCAGTGCATTTACTAAATACATTGATGAAACATCAGGTGGGCAAAAGTAGAGGTAGGGGAATCTCTTATAGGTTTTAGATGTTATAACATTTTTTTTTTTTAAACTGGGGATTGAACCGAGGGGTATATAACCACTGTGCCACATCCCCAGCCCTTTTAAAAAATATTTTATTTTGAGATAGGGTCTCATTACATTGCTAAAACTGGCTTTGAACTTTGGCTTCAGCCTCCTGAGCTGCTGGGGTTATAAGCATGTGCCAACATGCCTGGCTGTTATAACATTCTTCACTTTAGTATTGGTAGTGTTGGGAAAACATATAACGGCAGCCACATCCCAAAAACCCCCACATGGCGCCTGAGGAGCTTCTCTTCCTGTCTCTCCCTTTCCCGGAGGCGCCAATTCTCCCGCCAGCGCCAATATTCAAATCCCGCTGGATGATTTCCTCCCCTGTCATTCTTCCGTTTCTGAGGGACCACTCACCAAGTGTGACCTTATCTGGTTTACTGACGGTAGTTCCTTTAGGCAGGACGGCACTCATTACTCTGGGTACGCCACTGAGATTATAGAGGCCAAAGCTCTCCCTTCAGGAACTACCAACCAGTACGCTGAACTTGTAGCAGCCACTCGTGCCTGCCTCCTAGCACGGGGCAAATCCCTCCCCCTTTACACTGACTCAAAATATGTCTTCCGTATTCTATTATCCCACGCTGCAATATGGAAGGAGCGAGGCCTACTTACCACTAAGGTAATGCGATCACTAATTCGGGTCTTATAACCGATTTGATAGAGGCCTCCCACTTCCCCACCGAGTTGGGAATTATCCATTGTAGGTCCCATCAGAAGGATGGCTCTCATATCACTGAGGGCAACACCAAAGCTGACCAGGCGGCACGGATGGCTGCTACCACTTCCAATTATGACCTCCCTGGGAGACATATAATAGCCACTTTAGACTGTCCATCTGAAGCCCCTACTTCTTCCAGTAACAACAAGGATCTTTTCAAGCTCCTCCATACTCTATTCCATTCCAATTCTCAGTCTTTGACCCTCTTTTTACAGAGCTTCTTCTCCCTCACCCCCTCTGACAAAGCCATGCTACAGAATATAGCCTCTAATTGTCAGATCTGTCAGCGGACCAACCCTCATACTCCTTTAAGGCCTAAACTGTTTCCCTCCTACCAAGCCCGGGGACACATTCCTGCTGCTGACTGGCAGGTAGACTTCACCAACATGCCTGCAGTATGGCGCACTAAATACCTCCTTGCTTTGTGGACACTTTCTCTGGTTGGGTTGAGGCATTTCCCACTTCCAATAAGAAGGCTTCCACTGTAGCTTCAATCTTACTGACAGACATCATCCTTAGGTTTGGTATGCCCACTTCCCTACAATCCGACAATGGCCCTGAGTTTATTTCCAGGATCACACAAAAGGTCTCTCAAGCCCTCTCCTTCAAGTGGCATTTTCACTGTCCATATCGCCCCCAGGCTTCAGGGAAAGTGGAAAGGGTAAATCGGACTCTGAAGGAAGTCCTTACCAAATTGACAATGGAATTAAACTTAGACTGGGTCAAACTCCTTCCCTTGGCTTTGCTTCGAATCAGAGCTCTCCCTAAAAAACCATCTTTACTGTCTCCCTTTGAGATAATGTATGGAAGACCTCTTATACCACCTGGGTTGGTCGTTTCACAAGGACCTCTCACACGAGATTTGTCTTTGCCTGTCTTGTTTCATATCCGCTCGGAACTCTGGAAATATCAGGACTGGCTTCTTCCGGACCCAGACTCCTCTCCAAATACTCCTCCCTTAACACCTGGGAGTTTAGTCTGTTATAACACCCCAGAGAAGAAACGGCCTCTTGCCTCAAAATGGGAAGGCCCCTATCCTGTCGTTCTCTGTACCCCCACCGCCGCCAAACTTTCCTTACCAAGCAACCGTCTCACCTCCTGGATTCACATTTCTAGGTTAAAGCCGTATCACCAGGAGGCCGCCCCACCTGCTGACGACAGGACAACCCCAGAGGAACTTCAAGAGTCACCTCCTAGACCTCCCCTTTACTCCTGCTCTTCACATCCCAACTATCCTCTAAAGCTTCGCCTGTCCCGCATAACCGCCCATACTCCACCATGACTCTCACTCTTCTAATTGGTATTTTCGCTGTCATCACCCTTCTCCCGGGGACATCATCGTCCTCCTCTTATACTTGGAGATTCAAAGTTAGAGAGACATATGTCCAAGGTAGCACTCGTTACACTGGCCTAGTTTCTTCGGTTGATTGCGCCCCTGCAAGATGTAATGCATCTATCTTCCTTCCCCTCTCCTCCCAGAATTCTGAACTTTTAAAAACAGCCACTAGGCCTTACCTTTGCTTCTTATATGATCAGACACAGGATTACTGCAAATGGTGGCCCGAAACCTATGGTGGGTGCCCCTACTGGTCATGCAACATTCATAACCCACGTGCATGCATTGGGGATTCCTGCGTTGGAAATTTCAGATCGATCTCGGGGGGCTATCAATTGGCTATCACTGACCCCAACCATTCGCGCCGGACCTCTAGGGTAAATGCTTCCTTCTACTGTGACATATCCTCTTCCACCCCCTATGGCTCCATCTCCATTTCCCGGGAGCTTCAACCCTCCCAGCCCTCAGTAGCTATAATCTCTACTGACATAAAGCATTCCGAAGAGCAGTTGTTAGGCTCGATACAGGATCCATTTGATCCTAATACCGGGAGTTCACCACAGTATTCATGGCTACGACTACTTGCCGAAACTGTAACCTTCTTAAATCAAACCCTCCCCGCCATTGCACCAACTCATTGCTACTTATGCGCCTCTCTGACTCGACCTTTGCTTGCAGCGGTTCCCTTAAACTTCTCGGCTTCTAACCTCTCAAATTTCTCCACTCCATCTGCCCGCCATTCTCTCCGGACCCTTTCACCTGACACTCCATTACTCGAGCCCGAGGAGTCTAACCATACTGTGATTCCCCGGCGCTGCCTCTTGGGCTTGGGTGTCTCCCAGTCAGAGTTTTGCCACTCTAACATCACCTTTAACTTCACCCTCTATGCACCACTTGGCTCATTCTTCTGGTGTAATGGTTCTTTCACCACTATCTTATCCACCAATACCTCCGCCCCATGTATACTGGTGACGCTTGTCCCGCAATTGACTCTCTATACACCTGCTGAAGTACAGGCCCTCTTGTCTTCCCCTGTGCGAAGTAGGCGGGCTGCTTTCCTTCCAGTAATGGTGGGTCTCTCACTGGTTTCATCTGCGGCGGGAGCAGAAATTTATGATGGAGCTCTAGGACACTCCTTATGGGCTGTACAGGACTTGAATTCTAAACTTGAACAAGCGCTCACTTCTACGGCAGAATCTCTAGCATCTTTACAAAGGCAGGTCACATCCTTGGCTCAAGTTACTCTTCAAAACCGACAAGCTATGGACTTACGGTCGAAAAAGGTGAAACCTGCCTCTTCTTGAGGGAAGAATGCTGTTACTACATCAATGAATCAGGCCTTGTGGAAACTAATGTAGTCAAGCTCACCGACCAGGCTACCTCTTTGAAAAATCCACCAAACCAAAACCCAATTGCTACCTTCTTTTTAGCCAACTTCCAATCATGGCTGTTGCCTCTTTTAGGGCCCATATGTCTCCTTTTTCTGATGTGTCTGTTCCTGCCCTGTCTGCTTCGCTTCCTACAGGGCCAATTACGGAAGATCTCTAACCAAACTTTCAACCAGCTTCTGCTTAGGCACTATCAGCCTCTGATGACCGATGAACCCCCAACATCTTCAAGAGAACAGCTCACTCAGTGCTGAAGCTCACTACCAGGCACGATTTAATGCAACGGACATCAGACAGCGGGAGACAACAAGCCCGGAGAAACTCTTAATCTGCCATCCTGGATTCTTGAGCCTTTATGTCCTTTTAAGCCTCCTCATGGCCCTTGGCCTCTTCTCTGTCAGTCCCCCAACATGGAACTTCTGCCCAAAACTGACCTTTTAATTTTTATCTTCATCCTGCTTTTGTTCGCTCTGATCTTCTTCAGGTGCTAGTGATGCCATGTCAAGGCGACGCTTCCAATATTTCCTAGAGTCTCTGTTACAGGACCAATGGCTGATACCGACAATCTCTTCCATCCAGGACTGGTTCGATGCCATTGACGACTTGTGGCTTCAGGGAACTTTCCTAGACTTCACCCCTACAGAAGTAGCTGTCTATAGCCACTGGGTTTCATTTCTGGCTGCCATGATATCCCCAGACCTGCCCCCCCTAACATTCCTCCACTTCCTTTTCTAGGCCCCACGCCACCCCCACACAGCAGGAAGCAGCCAGATCTGACCAACGACACCCCAATTCCTAAGAAAACAAAAAGGGAGGAATGTTGGGAAAACATAATGGCAGCCACACCCCAAAAACCCCAACATGGCGCCTGAAGAGCTTCTCTTCCTGTCTCTCCCTTTCCCACCGGCGCCAATTCTCCCACCGGCGCCAATATTCAAATCCTGCTGGCGGGAAACCTTAACCCCAATAAGAACTAACTTCTTGGGCTCCGGAACGGACATCTGGAAGAACTTACCAATAAACGGGTGACCCGTCATTTACCTAAGCCCTGCCGCCTCTCCTTAGATCTATATAAGCCCACAGCCTTTTGTAATAAAGCGGAACCTCTCCGGTGACTTGTGTCGTGTGGTGTCTTTCATTCGTAGTGCGGTGTCTTTCAGGTAGAAGCTAGACATCTGCTAAGCTTAATGATAAATCCCAAGAGTTTTACATAGTAGTCATGAGAATGTTCGGTCATACATAGAAACTGATGGTCAATGGCCATTAGAAGGGATTAAAGCTGGGTGCAATGGCTCATACCTGTAATCCCAGCTACTCAGGAGGCTGCTTCAGGAGGATCACAAGTTCCAGGCCAGACTGGGCAATTTAGCCAGACCCTGTCTCAAAATAAATAGAAAAGAGTTGGGGTGTAGCTTAGGGGTAGAGTTCCTCAGGGTTCATTTCCCAGTAAGAGAACAGTAACAGCAACAACCACCAGAAAGAGACTAAGATAATTTTGGATCTCAGTCTGTAACATTTTGTCTTTTCACAATGTTCTAGTCAGCCAGATAGTCTGTAGGAGCTTTAATATTCCATTTCTGTTCACTGGGGGCGTGGTGTGGGGGCTGTGTTCTTAATTCCTTCAGTTTAGTGTCAAGTAATTAAGATTGAACAGGTAAGTGTAGTATCACAGCCAGGTTTCCTGGCACATGTCAGAAATCCAGCTGTTTTACGGGCTGGGGCAGGAGATTCACAAGTTGGAGGCCAGCCTCAGCAACTCTGTCTCAAAAACTAAAAAGGGCTGGGGATATAGCTCAGTGGTAAAGCACTCCTAGGTTCAGTTCCCCTATCCTACCCGCCCCAAAAGAAGTTGTAGCCCTTCCTGCCTGGGAAGAGTCTGAACAATTAATTTAAAAAGCACTTAAGGGTGCTGAAGTATTTTGGGTGATGGACTGATTTCTATAGTTTACTTCTAAATGCAATAACAAATTATATAACTTTATGGATGCCCAAGGATTATACATAAATAGGAAGAGTTAGGTAGGATTTTTGCCAGAGCAGGCCACCTGGCTTCAGATTCTGTATTTTTTTTTTAAATCTCCAGGGCTGGGGATTGAACTCAAGGCTGCATTCATGCTAGACAGCATGAATGCAAGGGTCGCCCTGGCTGCTGGCCCAGGCCGGAGGTGGGGTGGTGAGGAGATTCACCGGAGAGAGGGGCGGTTTCAGCAGAGCCAGCCTGTTGCCTGCAGGCTCTGGTGGCGTTTGGGTTTCTTTCCCACCCTGCCCAGGAATCTGTTTTCCTGACCATTGCTATGTGCTGTTTCTTATAAGCCTACATTCTCAAATCAGAAATCACATATTAGATGTAGAATTGTGTAGGGTAGTGATTCTTAGATTTAATGTTGAAAGACATTTTAGCGTTTAGTCCAGTTTTTTATTCACAGATGAGGAATGTGAGATTTTAAATAGCTTCCTCCATTGTTAAGCATCCCTAAATCATATCTGAACTGTACTGGGTTTCCTTCATTTCTGTTGTTGGTATTTCTAGTTCATATAGTTTTCTGATGTTTCTTTTAAAAAGGTGCCAATCAACAATTTCACAGCATTACAGGGGAGTCTGACTAATGTAGAGAATGGATCTATTACATTTCATCATTCATTCATTCATGTATGTATATATATATATTCACAGTGAAGTTTTATTTAGCCATAAAGAATGATATTATGTCATTTACTGGAAAATGGATGGAACTTGAGAACATTATGTTAAGTAAAACAAGCCAAACTCAGGTCAAGAATTGGATCTTTTCTCTCTTGTGGAAGCTAGAAAAGAAAAAGGAAAAGGGGCTGATCTCATGATGAAAATAGAAGAGAGATCAGTAGATGGGAGGGATGAGGGGAAGAAAAGAGGAAAAACTCAGGAATGATATTTGCCAAATGATATTGTTATATTGGGTGCATGTATAACTATGTAACAATGAATCCCACCATTACTATAACTATAATGGCTAAAATATAAAGATGAAAGCTGTGCCTGCACCTGTCCAAACACATTGCCAGGGCACCTGGCCTTGCCTTTGCTGCCTTGCCTACCTGTTCTGCTCATCTACCACAGGCACTCAGTTGGCTTTAATGTCATCTAGAATGTTAGTTTACTAGTAGACTCATGATTGTCTTATTTCAATTGAGAAATAGTTAACTCAGAGCTGTAAGTTCTTATCTGAACTTTCTCATTTTACTTGAAAATTAAGTAGCTGTATAAATGCAGTGTCTAACATTTACTCATTTTGTTGCAGTTAGCTTGTGTCATTTTCAAATTTGTATCATGCTTGGTGTGTGGTTTCTTTTAGGTGCTGCTTTTATGTGGTCCCAAAACATTGGTTCCTTAATTTGCTCTAAGATTGTGCTAATGGGCATCTGTTTTCTCCTTGAATAAGAAACTGCAGAAAGTGACTTCCATTCTAATCCCTTAAACTCTATAAAGACATATTTACTTTATATATGTTGTTATATATATTACATATATATATATATACTTTATATATTAATCTGCATATGACATATATAAAGAAATATTTCATCATTTTGACATTGCTGAAATTGGGAAATGTTTAATCATCAATATCTGGCTGCATTTTTTTCTTGGATACAAAAAATATTGGTACTGCTTACAGTTGATGGCATTTTAGATTTAATGAAATATGATAATTAAAAATCTAATAGTACTTTAGTACAGAGGTAACATTTTCATTGTAGAAAATTTGAAATATAAAAAAATAAGAATTCAGAAGAAAATAAAAATTACTGGTTATTCTAACACCCAGAGATAATGTTGTAGCATGTAGTTTTCTAATCTTTTTGAAAGATTGTATATTATAATATGTATATCTAATTTATATATATTATATTATTTTATAGTATAATTTGCATTGTATAGTTAGGTGTACACTTTTTTTTTTCTTTTTGCAGCACTGGGGATTGAATCCAGGGCCTTGTGTATGCTAGGCAAGTGCTTTACAACTAAGCTGTACCCCAGCTCTAGTTAGGTATACTGTCTTCTGAATTTCTATATACAGTTGCTTACATATCCCTGTAACCATGCTACAGTTTGATATAGATTATCACTTAAGAAAGTTCTCTTATGCTCCTTTGTTTTTAAGTCTGTTTCTTTTTACTCTTTTTTCCTTTTTAAAAAGTTGTAATGAGAATGAGCATGTTTTGTGGCCATTTTGTATTTGGTATGCCAAAAACATTTTTCATGTCATTAAACATTCTTCTAAAGTGTGATTCTACTCCCTCCACAAATTAATGGCTATATAATTGTCTATATAGCAATGAATACCTTTTATGTTTGGTAGTGATGAATGGAATACAGGTTGAGTATCCCTTATCTGAAATGCTTGGGATCAGAAGTATTTTATATTTCAGATTTTGGAACATTTGCATATACATAATAAGATAGCTTGGGGATGAGACAAGTCTTAACATGAAATTCTCTGATTTTCATTTACACCATAGATAGCCTGAAAGTAATGTTATATAATTTTTAAATTTTTTAAAATTAATTAATTTTTTAAAATTTTTTTGATTTTTATAAAAACACACCTGTGTTTTGACCATGTCCTGCCTTAAGAGATCAGCTATGGAATTTTCACAATGGTAGTTCTCAAAGTTTCAGATTTTGGAGAATTTTGGATTCATATTTTTGGATTAGGAATAATTAACCTGTATAATTGTATATATTGTGAAAAGTGCTTGTGTGGTACACACATTAGAGGTTTCTTTTATCCATATTTGAGAGAGGAAGAATACTCATAGGAAAGAGTTATAAAAGATAAAGTAGAATTGCTGGGCATGATGGCACACGTCTATAATCCAGTGATTTGGGAGGCTAAGGCAGAAGGATCACAAATTCAAAACCAGCCTCAGCAACT